AATTCCAATAAGTTAGTAAAAATATTACTTTATTATTTTCGTTAGTCTTTCATTTTGAAAAGTTGATCTAATTATCATTATTAAATAAATAGATTCTGCAAATATAATTAATTTAAAATTATTTCCAACTTATCGTAATCCTCCACCAGTTTATGATTATCACGTACCAATTTGCACGGTTAACCTTGAAGTGTTGATGGACGAAAACTGGGATATTACGATGAAAAAGGTCGGTTGAGATGCTTTAAGATAATTTATCAGTAATTATTATTAACTTCTTTTTTATTTAGATAGCAACGCGTATTAATGGCATACATCATGTTAAAAAAATAGCAGAATTGGCGGATGTGGATTATGGACTTGCTAGGAAATGCATGGAACATTTGTTGTATGTGTTTAGAAGAAATGATATCATTGTTTGATTCTGATTTTATTTTTTAATTTTTTATTTTAGATACTATGGATGTGTTATCATGGTTGATATTTTTCAGGTATATTAAATGTAAACGCGTTATTTTTAAAAATTATTTATTTATTCGATCTTTATTAGTTTTCAAATGTGTATGCCGTAAAACCAGATATTACTAGAATAATTGAGGATGAAGCAATTCAGAGTGAATGTTCATCTTACGTTAGAAAACCAGGTAAGTATGAGGGGTTGATACTCTTCCAAGTTTAGTAAAATGCTTATTTTATTTATTGATTTGATAGGTACAATGTCACCTTCATTTGCCAAATTATTTTCTCTGTATTGTCTATTGAAACATGGATTTACTCTCAAAGAATGGGTACAAGAAAATCAAGTCGCGTCTCTAAATATAGACATAAGGTATAGAATTACTTTACGGAGTTAGAACTTGTTATTAACTACTAACTTTGAGAATTCTTGGAAACTCCGTTCAGACGTTTCATATCCTTTGGTGTAATTAAAGGATTTTTATATCGAGTTCATAAATATCCAGTGTTACCCGAGCCACACAATCAACAAAGCAAATTACCGTCTAAATTGCGAAGGTAAAAAATTAAGAATTTATTAATTTATAAATACTTTATTTATTTTAACGATATTGTACTCATTAAAGGTTGCTTAATGGTAAACATCATTATGATGAGATTTGTACGATGGAAGGTTGTAGTGCCCGCGAACTTGATGAAATCCTAAGTGCTGAACCCGAAGTCAAATTTATTTGGAGATAACTCAATGGGTTTTGGTTAAACTTTATAATTTATTACCATTTGTGTATTCCTATGGCTTGCTATACTTAAAAAGTTTAATTCTTTAATTATGTATTTAAATCATATTTATTGTATAATTTGTATTTTTAAATTCAAAAATTTCTTAATATATAATTTTAATTAAAAAAAATATTCCAATTTGATCTTAGTAAATACTTTTTAAATATATATTAATAAAAAATACCTATACTTTAAATTATTAAAATAAAATTATAATATTTATAACATCTTATAAAATAAAAATAATTAAATATAAGATTTTTTTGAATCATAAAATTTTAGTATACAATTTAATAGGATTTAATTACAATTTAATTTTTATAATTTACTAAAAGTAAAATAAACTTATTTTATTTTATACATAAAATCTATTTATACAACAAATTATTATTTTAAATTAACATTCTATAGTATTATAAAGATAACTAAAAAGCTATTTCAGATAAATTTATAAATATTAATTAGTTGTTAAAAGAACTTTTTATTTCTAAATATTTAAATAAGTTATTTTAATACTTACTAATCTAATTTTATAATTAAAGATTTTAAAAAAATTGTTAATTTTTTTTTATATTTTATATACTTTTATAATCTTTTTAATAAATAATAAATATTATTAATAAAGTAATTTTAACAAATTATAATAGTTAAATAAATCATTTAAATAGTTTTTTTTAAAATTAAGAAATAATTCAATTATAAAAATAATAATCAAATTTATTATTTATTATTCTAAGTTTATTAATTTATAAAATTTATTAAAATTTTAAAAAATTGAGATTAATGATAAAATAAAATGATTTTACTAAAAAAGATTATTAAATATTATAAATCTAAACAAATAATTAAAATAAAGATTTTATTTTTAAATTTAATTATAAAAAAATAAAATAAATATATTGTATATATTTGTTAAATCTATTTTATTAATCTAATTTAATATATTTATTATACTATTTATATTTATTATAGTCAAATTTTTATATAGTCAACTCTTGATATAATAAACTCTTAATATAAAAAATTTTTTGAATTGGCCAATCAAATCTCTTAAAATCTTCACTATAGCTTTATAATAAAGTTGAGATCTAAGACATAGATTTTGTTATAACAAAAGTTGACTGTATAATTAATTATATATCAAAAAAATATTAATTATATAGAAGTATAATTGTATAAAGTAATTTTTTTTAATTATTTTTAAGAATACAAACTTAATAATATGATATTACATTAAATTATATTATATTATAGATATGTATTAAGTATAATTTAAAATATATTTGATATAATTGCTAAAGTAATAATTTATAATATATAATGAAACTAAAAAATTGATATAATATAATATAATATAAAAAAATAAAATTTATTATTTATAATTGTTTATTATTTATTACTAATATTTAATATAATTAAAAACTTGATTAACTAAAATAATAGAATCAAAATCTATATTTTTTATTTCTTTTATCTACATTATTATTATTTTTTAAATCTACAGTTTTTATATTATCAAATGATTATAAAAGATTATTAATATCTTTCAATATTAAATTAGTATATATTTATATTTACATTTTTTTTTTCTCTAATAATATATTATCAGTAATATCATCATTTTCATTATCATTTAAAGAAATAATTATCAATTATAGAAATATTAGCAATTTCTCTTAATTTTATACTACTTAAATTTATTTTAATATTTGCCAAATAATTTAAATAAATTTTGACATATTTTTTAGTTTTTTAATATCAAGTCTTATACATTTATCTCCAATCATTCATTTAAATATGAAAAATTTATTTACAATTTACTTGTAAAGGAGTAATACTAAATAATTAAAATATAAAATCTCAAATATAACATTTTTTTAATTTTATAAAATGTTACAATATTCAGATATATTTATATTTAACATATAATTCAGATCATAAAGTTTTAAGCTTTAATCAAAATATCTAAATTAAATGAGAAGCTGCTTATATTTTTTTTAAGATAATCTAAATTTTGCTAAAGAATTATAATATTAATCAAAATTAAAAAAATTAGACATGTAAAAATCAGTCTAAAATTAACCTAAAATCAGCAAATTATCAAAAATCAGCCTAGCCAATTGGTATACATCAGAAATCAGCCAAGAATCAGCCAAAATTCAACATATCTTATTTATAGCCAATTGGCATACTTATAGCTAATTAGTATATATCAAAATTCAACTTATCTTATTTATAACTAATTGACATCTGATTGAAACAATTATATTGTTTTTTAGATATAATAAGTATTATCATTCTTAGAAACAATAGTTTTATCGTACCTAAAGTATGATGATATTATTATTTTTTAGATATAATAGTATTATTATGCCTAAAGAATAATATATTTATCATACCTTAAGTATGATGATTTATTGTTCTTTAGATATAATAGTTTATCGTATCTAAAAAATGATGGTATTATCATTTCTTAAGAATAGTGACTTAGGGATGATTGTTTTATTATTTCTTAGAGATAATTGTATTATTGTATCTAAAAAATGATAGTTTTATCATACCTAAGGAATGATAGTTTTATCGTTCCTAAAAAATGATAGTTTTATCGTTCCTAAGAAATGATGTATTTATCATTCCTTAAGGATGATTATTTTATTATTATTTAGAAATAATGGTATTATTATACCTAAAGAATAATGGTTTTATCATTCCTAAAATATGATGCATTTATCATTCTTAAGAAATGATTGTTTTATCATACCTAAAAAATAATGGTATTATCATTCCTTAAATACAATAGTTTTATAATTCTTTAAGAACGATTATATTATTGTATCTAAGAAATGATGATTTTATCATTCTTTAAGAACAATAGTATTATTGTACATAAGGAACAATGCATTTATTATTCTTAAAGAACAATTGTTTTATCATACCTTAGGTATGATAATTTTATCATTCCTAAGGCATAATGGTTTTATTGTCCTTAAGGAACAATGCATTTATTATTCTTTAGAAATAATTGTTTTATTATACTTAAGGAACGATAGTTTTATCACTTCTAAGAAATAATTGTTTTATTATACCTAAGGAACAATAGTATTATCATTCCTTAGATATGATAGTTTTATCATACCTAAGGAATAATAGTATTATTGTACCTTAGTTATGATGATTTTATTATTCTTAAAGTATGATTATTTTATTGTATCTAAGAAATAATAGTATTATTATTCCTAAAGAACAATAGTTTATCATTCCTTAGGGATGATGATTTTATTATTTCTAATAAATTAAACTTTCAAATTAAACTGATTTGCTAAAATAATATTGATTTAATGTACTATTTGAGTTTATTTCTAATATATAAAAATATTTATATAAATACAGATGCTGATCAAAATTATGCGAACACTTTTTTTTACTGGAATTATACAAATTATCAAATAATTATGTGCTATATTTATCACTAATTTTTTATTTATTAATGTAATAAATGAATATATAAAGTTTTTTAGCCTTCCCATTTTTACATTTTTAGTATGTTAAAGGTTCTTGAAAGGTAAAAATGTTAAAAAGTCCTATGGGATTAGGTTCTAACAGTTTTACGAAGTCTGATTCAGTTCAAGATCTTTTGAACTATAAGACTGCAGTTCTAGAACTGTGATCCTATAGAAATTAGGACTTGTAATTCTTGGATTGCGGTCTTATAAAAAAGAATTGCTCAAAAAGAATGATAATAAATCATATGACTTGAATAATAAAAGAAATAATCGTTCAGAAGAACAATGAGAAATCATTCAACTTAAATGATAAAAAAGTCATTTAAGAAGAATAATAAAAAATCATTTAACTTAAATAATAAAAAAATCATTCAAGAAGAATAATGAAAAAATTATTTAAGAAGAACGATAAGAAATTGTTTAACTTGAACGATTATTTTTCTATAGGATCACAGTCTTAAAATTGCAGTTTCAGAACCTGATCCTAAAATCCAGTCCTAAGACTCAAATCCTATAAATTGGGTCTTCTTTAGGAGTGAAAGATTCAGGACTAGACTAGAATCAGACTAGAATTTAACAATCCTACTGAAAGAAAATTCTTCTAGAATATTATAAAAAATTGATCAATAGTATACTATAGAGGATTGAAGCTGTTATTATTATAAATAGCAATAGAATTAAATATTAGTATCAGAATTTTTTTTATAAAAATTAATAAATGACAATAAAATAAATATACTTACCTTATTTTATTTCTAATATATATTTTTTGTATAATTTTTTTTATTTGAAAAGTGTTCACATAATTTTAATTAGCATCTGTAAGTTTAATTTTTTAACTTTTTAAAAAATAATTTCAATCATTTCCAAATTTTCTCTTTTTACATTTTACTAAAATGCCAAAAAAAATTTGTCTCAAGAACAAAAAGACCTTAAATTGAATTTTAGTCAATTTTCACTTTCAACTATCAAAATCAGATGAAGAAAAATCTGTATTTTAGTCAACTTTTCTAAAAT